CTTCTCTTCGCTCCATCCCACGCGAACAAAAATCGCATTCCATTCTCGACAAGTATATTCCTCTTACAGACATATTTCTTTTCGCAGTCGCCATTTTGTTTTCGGACTCCGATCGGTCCCAGACGCTTTCTCACCCTTCCCCTACCTCGTCTAGCATTTCGACAACCAATCGCACGCATGGGCACTATGGGTAGAGCCAATCACGCGTCTGGCAGCTACGGAGCCAACCAATCAGAACGCTCCCACTAATTACCTAATTATCATCTCCGATCCCCACCGACCAATCAGAACGCTCCATTTCCACGCGACTGCCGATTTTCGGCCACGCCCCTGGCGCCAGTGGGAAGGTGGTGGGGGTTTGTTTTGACGCGCCATAGTGCCCCACTTACTACTTATAACTTAATGAAGCTGTTATTAGTAATAGAATGAATTACAATGTAATCGAATATAACAGACAGCATGAGACGTGTCAAAGAGAACAGTGAATTGATACGAAAAATAAATTTTAATATTGCCTAAGAATTTAAGCGCTTTAATTTATCGATTTAATTGTAAACAATTCTATTAAAAGAGATAGTAAATATATAATATAATATCTATCTTTTGGCAGTGGTGCAGATGTCACGCATTCTATAATGTACTTCTTGAACTCTGTGTTAATTTTTTGCAATAATAATTTTGATGTACTATAATATATGTTACATCTTTCTATTTGGAATTTCATGGAAATTTATTAGTTTTTCAAAGCCTGGCATTTCCATCACAATCGTCATTGCTAATATCTTACTTTTATTTATGTGTCTTTTATTTAAATTATATGAGAGGAAACTACTGACTGATCTCACTAATGGGTATGTTCGAACAATTATCTTTACTTATATACTTACTTATATACTTTATATAAAATATTATAATTTATCTTAATTTTAATGTTAAATATATTTGATATTTACTATAGTATTTTTCTTGCAAAGAGTTATCTAAGTTATTTGTCATTTTGTTTTATAGAAAAATATATAAATTTAGTAAAATAAATCTCAAAGTCACGTTTCTAATTTAAAATTACGGATTTAGGAATAAAAAAACGGAGTCTGAAGTTTACGGAGTTCTTTAGGTGAGGAATATAAAGTAAGAAGTTCATACACGTGACATATACATATATACGTATATATTCCATATGTGCGGTTCCATGTATGCGATCTGTGAGATGAATATGATGGGATTTCTCATCATCAATATTTCACTCCTTTACCTTAAGCTCTGTTTCTCTATTCCTAAGTTCGTATTTCAAATTTATTTATAACACAAGCTTAATGATGAAAATAATTAATGTTAATAATTTAAAAGTTAAAAACAAATCAACTTCAATTTGATTAAAAAATTTGCAGAAAAAAAATTATAAATTATAAATTATAAATTATAAATTATATAAAAATTATATAAAAAATAAATTATATAAAAAAATATATTAAATAAGCTGTCTATATTATGTTAATAAAGTTACATTTATTAAATAAGAAGCATTCTAATCTTAATTTAAGAAATATTACAATATTTTACAATTATACAAGTATAATGAAGTTTTACAATGTTGTACATATATAAAAGAAGATTTACAGAAGAGATGAAATAAATCCTCCATTTTGTTTCTTATTGGTTTGCAGATTACGTAATGCTTA